TAATGAAGATTAAAACATTTCTGATAACCCAGTATCAATTGTATCCATATACTTTTATATAGCTTGCCGTTTGGTACGTTTAATTAATGTTTTAAACTAGAATATTCAGTTGTCAGACAATCCTTCTATTTATCACGTGATACAGTTGTGCTTAGTATATACAATTTAGTTTAGTTTAGTCTGATGATCAACATTTATGTGCCCATAGACATTTCTAAAATCATTTTCCCAAGTAAATGAAACATCGCCCAATAGATGACGTATACATGAATACAGTCACACAACGGCAAGACAATATATTGCTTTTGTTTTTATTGACTTGTGTGACCTACCCTGCCACTATCACCACGAACGGCGCTCTGCTCCGTGAGTTAAAATCCATTTTCACTTACATGTGACTTTCGTTCACGTCAAGTTAATTAGGCGAATTTTAATTGGCTCGATCTATTAATGTATTGTCCTGTGAAGGTGAGCTAGTAGTAGCAAGATGTTTCCACAGAGATTTAATTTTTAATTATACAGAATACTGTCATGAATGGCATTGTTCCCGTCTTTCGTATTATAACCTATTAGTACTGTACTTGTACCACAGTAGTATATACAAACGATTGCTCACCATTCCCACTGGTCTGGTACCCTTAGTACTTGGTGAGGGTATATATCCACATTATGTAGTAATGAACTAGTTATTTGCCTCATAGATCCTAAAGAGGGATAGGAAGCTGTGGTATAACACTATTCAAACAACTATTTTGAATTTACTTTAATCCTATTTTCCCCTATATTTACATAACGGACCCACAATAAACACATGTTTGGAACAGCGCCCCACACGACAGCCTGTCGTTTTCTTGGCATTTACTACGGTGTAATTAGAAATGTTACACTTTTCGCAGGGACAATATAGTTCAGTATGACACCCTTCAAAGTGACAGCAGGACGGGGTTGGATGGGTTAAAAAATTAACTGTGACGGTCAATTACAATTTTCTGTTACGTTTCGCTCCCGACACAGCTGGGCCGATATTACATTCATATATTTACCTGTCTGCCAATTGGGGGTACTATCACCAGGCTTGGCGGGATCGGTGTTGCAAAGCCTCGGTGTACATTCCTATGTATTAGGTTGTTTCATCTCCGATTGGTGGTGCCGTATATTATTTAGACGCTTCAATACATTTTTTGTAACGCAAAAGGGGGACGATTGTTAATTGCAACCTTGTTCCCCATGTATTTCAAACCATTGCTTTACTTGGAATGAAATGCACACACTATGAACCAATACGATAGGCATCACATTCACATGCTTAACATACCGGTAACTGTCAGAACGACGATACGGGGGTAGAACGACGACCCAGTAAACAGCGCCATCTATGAAGTAGAAGACGAATACCGTTTTATAACAACTTGCCCTTTGTACAACATCAAAGAAAAATTATATGAGGAGGCCGGAAAGCAAATAAATGATTTCACAAATTTTACAGAATAAAACAAATTTATAATGATAATGGGTAAATACAAACATTGCAATTAATATTGCATTGAACAATTTATAAGCTTCATTATGAGACAGCAACTTCTATTGTCGGCTTATCATAACCATAATCTTTTTAAACAAATTATGCACACAAATTAAAACCGCAGCACCCCATAGTATAACTAAAGATGTTTTGTAATGTATTTTCGTATGTTAATGGCAGTGATTCTTTTATTTTGTAAATGTAATTTTGTAACTCGTATATGCACTTTTTATCTTGTACTCTTAATTACTTTTTTTTACTGTCGCTGCACTTTCCAAAGGTTCGTGTCATTAAATAAATAAAAATAAAATTGAGCCATGCTTCCTGGAGCACGAATTCTTTCTGAATTTGCCAGGCACCAACAGCGCCACCAAACAATAACTCATAGTTTCTTTCGTATATAATTGTGCCAAATAATCCACAATTAGATAAATTGGGGATAGAACAAATGAGTGGCGTACCAAGCATGACATGACATTGAAAAGTAGTGTTATATCAAAGTATTTATTAAATAAAATAGTACATGTGTGATCTTGCATAGGAATACACTGATGTCGAGAGACTGTAAGTTAACCTCTATAATCCACGTAAATCACATAGTACATCAGCGGAGTTATTTTATTTATGTTTCAGTCTGAGTGCAATGTCTAGTCATTTTTTTCAATTAAATGCAACTATATATCAGTCCATATGATAAATATATGTCATGCTTCCTCTGGGCCAGGTCCTCTGAGTTTGATACAGTAGGCGGTGCAATGTGGCGACTTACTAGTAACGTTCACGTTACAGGTTTCGGTCACATACTTACATGGCGACTTAATAACTTATCAACGGTCTATCAAGGTCGATAGAATTAAGAAAGTCCGCTTGTTTAATTAACATAAACACTATTTTATCTACCCGAAATTGGTTGTGTGCATGGTAGTATACGGTACAATACAAAATCATCCCGAGACGGAAGGGGGGGGGGGGTCGCCATCGCGCATTAAAATACCAATTTCGCAAAAGATATTTTTGACTCCCGTGTGCATAATTAGCCAATATTCGGCTTTTACACTAATATCCACACTTCTAATCACATTTCAATGAAACTTGATACATAGAAGGTCTGTGGCATCCATGCATATAAATTATTTGATTTGCATAATAATCAGTCAGTTTTCGCTTTTCCATCAATATTTCATAACATTATAGTGAAACTTGGTACATATGTGCACTGGAATATAATGCAGACCTAATTAGTTTAGGGTTGAAATTTGAGCATACTAATGTGCATAATATTATAGTCATCCTATAGAAGCTATGTGGTAATCCACAGTCATGATTAGTTTAATGTATAGTGATTATAGTGATTAATTATCGTTAGCCAATGTCTGATATCTCAACAAATCAGATTTATATTGAACGTGTGATAGAAGTTCCCTGGAATAAATTAGACTGAAAAATACAATAAACTTCAACAATGTGAATCACATCGTTTTCATGTGTCTCAAATAGCAGATAACTTGATATTAGTCACCAAGCTTCTTGTTTGAAAATTTTGAATTAATTTGTAATATGTCTCCAATACTCACACACAAGCTTTATTTGATTGCAAGCAACAAAACTCACCAATCACCCCACTTGAAGCCATTTTCCAACACAAAGTTCTGGCAAGTATTACACAAAAACAAACAGTGTATGAAGTAACATTTTACCGTAACATCATTTTCACACATTCAAACGATCCTTTAGAATATTTTGATTTGTATATTTAGGATTTGTAGAGATTCAAATATTGTTGTATTGCGTCAGATAACGCTATGCTGGGTTTGTATGTCGCAAATAACAGTGATGTATGAAGTGTCACTAACTATTTTGTAGCACTGTGTGAGGCTGAGTTAACTAATCAATTGGTATAACTTACATGTGGAATGGCTGCCAAATAACAATGTGTGGTGTAGTACATGGAAACATTGCATAATGATTAAGCAATGTCATTTTGTGGCTGGAGTCATATTTAACGTTGACATATTATGTTTATGGTTATGGTATTGGCAGTTCTGTTGCTGTCACGTGATATGGGCGTCGCATATAAAACCAACATCATATTTCATCATTTGTTATTTGATTTATTTATTTATTTATACCAATATGTCTATCAACGGGCGTAACGTACTTGAAATTGAACTACATATTTGAAAAGTAGACACAGTGCATGATATGGTAGCAGATGAGACACTGTCAGTTGAGCTAATGTACACACACCGTCATATTAACGTTGAACAAAGTCCAGTGTTCGTGTGGGAAATTATTTCAGTGTTCTGGTCGATTTTAAACAGCGTAAAATACATTCATATCTTGCCTCAAGATTGATTTTGTGTGGCGTCAAACATATATCAATCAAACATATATCAATATGTACATCGTTATGATAATCATTGCTACATATACGATGAACTTTGACCTCGTACCTGGCCGTAAACAGATTTCATTGCAATATGTGTTGATATGTGATATCCCTAGCTTGTATAAGTATAAGGTACCAGAGCGAAAGGCAGACATCATTTCTTACGAAGGGGTGGGTGACACATGAGAACGTTGTCCATGAGCCTGATTGTGGAGAGAAAGGCTGAACTTGATCGTTTAATTAAAAGGTTAAGACAATTAACGTCAATGCAAGTAATGTAAAGATTATTTTTATTTGCCGGTTTCAATTCGTTAAAAGAACACCAATTCGTGAATACAATGTTCCACCGCATAGATTGTCCATATCGTTGAGTGAAGCTGTCACAACAGTAATTCGCACTCCCGAAAACATGAACTACAATTTACTCGCTTACAATACAGAGATTTACAATAAAGCAAGTGTAGATGTAGACTTGCATACAATCTCTTGTTGATTTCTTCTTTTAAAATAAAATAAAATATTTTGCGGTTGTAAAAATGGCCTTTCACCATTTACACTACCATAATATTTTTAAAAACACCGAAAATTAAACAAAAAGTCTAGTGTAGTTGGTGAATGGAATAATTAAAATAAAATTTGTATAGAATCTAATCTAATCCATGTTTTTGTTTATGTGGAAAACAACGAATTTTAACCAAAATTGTGTGATTTTTATAGTATAATAGTATCAATAATAACATTTTGATTCATTCCTATCACGTGTAAATGACAGTTATTGTACTGTGTGTAAATAAATACACCTTCAAGTGTTATTGCTCATCTTGTTACTTATATATCTCACTGAATAATCGATTAGTATCGATTATGTCAAGTGTCAAGTGTTGGCACCCCATGTTAAAACATTGTTCTAAACACAATTCCGTCAATTATACCATTTGTCGTATAAACAGGTGCAACGACATTTATATATTGTCATTATGTTCACTGCAAACAGGGTTGATTTTATTTGATGGAACAACCGACGTAATAGCCGAAGTAGTGAGGTCCCTACTTCACAGCAAGCCATACATAGATACTGAGGCCTTACTGGGCAACCCTTCGCATGCGACTGACGAATATAAAATGCAAACTTAATATACAACCGCACTACAACTCGGGGTACTTCAGACAGGCGCTGACGTACAATCAACAAATTCCTGCAAACTTCTAAAACATAAACGAACGATGACGGCGCATGGTCTCCGTCCTTACCAAAGGGCAGACTTCCATATTTCTCCGTACAGACGGGAGCGACGCGGTTATTTTAGTATCGCCTTGGATTTCAGTTATTTAACAGACGTGATATGGGAAAAGGACACTAGAATTATTATTCGTTCCGGCGATAAAACCAGTATTGTGGACTCCCCTTTTCGACTTCTCGCACGTGCAAAGAAAGAACGGTAGGTTTATGTGCACACTGATCGTTTTCTTGACACAATATTAATATTTATGGTGTTTACTTTGTCAGTTTGTGAACATTCCGTTGTCATACTGCACTAGTTCAGCACACACACAGCTGTTTCCTTTCTGTCAATATGAAACAACACAGTTGACATAAAAAAATTATAAAAAGTCAAGGATATTTTTTAGATATTAGCTGTACAAACATATTAAATTATCATCACTAATTATTATTATTATTAATTAAGAATACTTTGCATAAAAGTGTATTGAATTGAGATGCCACAAGTGTACGGTCAGTGGGCAATTATTTCACATTTAAATTGATGAGCGCAATAGGAAGCAGTCATGCGTAGCAACAATATTTCATACTTTAATATCTTTAATATTAACTAAGTGACTTTAGCAACAAGACAATACGAATTTATCAATAGTTACATTATATAAATAACATTATTGAAAACTTCAATTACGTTGTACGACAACGTCTTTGACAAAGTTAGTATAGTCTCCTCTCGTCGTCGTCGTAGATCTCGTCTACATCATTCCAATAACACTGTATTAAATATGCAATGTTGTTCAAAACTCGTTTTTTAACAAGCTCATACAAGGACAAATTCCGCCATTATATCAATTTGTAGCATAACAAACGCAGAACTTTGGTTTTAATTCTGTTTTAATTTTAGTGACTGCAGTATTACTGAATATTTACATGACTCGTACCAGGGTAACACAAATTCATTAATACAAAAACTACTGCATGAGTCATGGATTCGAAAAGTTGTCAAGGATTCATATCCATAGCAAGGTCAACCATAAAGCTTCCAATCAATTGTAGTGACTATGGGTCAACGTACAAAAACATAAAATTGTATACAAAAAAACATAATCATTATGAATCTGATTTATATCCATGTTTCAATAATGGTGGGAGAATTTAAAACACGACTAAACTTGCTGTCATTTAAAGGTCAATGCTCGGCCATACTCCCTGCGTATGCGGGTCATGTTTCATATTGAGAAAAAATTAAAATAGATCACACGCAAACATAATAAACAATTTACTGGTATGCGAACGTTTTAGGAGACAAGTGTGGTAGGTTTCTTATTGCTGTGATATAACGTGTTTTAATTCATCTTTCTCGTGTATCCATACCACCATGTGGCTTACTGTGTCTTGTGTGGATTGGGATGTATTAGACGTTATTGTTTGAATTATCATATTTGGAGAGAAGGGCTGCTTTACATCTCTATCCCTAGCGACACGTGACGGGACATTGTGACGGGAAGCCAATTAATTATTGCCGAGGATGAGCCCTCAGTCTCTTAATAGTTGCTATATAAGAATACATATATTGTGCAGTGTGTTTAGAAGCCACTGCTCTACAAAATAGAGACCCGTAAATTTTGCACCTGTCAAATTGTTTACCTTGTAAAACCAGCATGGATTTATACCTCGTTTTGATACTGTTGCATCTATTGTCAAGGTCCTCGGTACCTTATGGCTGCACTAAATGACTTATGGATGTCCTTGGGACATTTACAGGGGTCCATTAAGGGTCACCGACCCACTGATTTCAGTAAACATCTTTCCGTGACACTAATGGGGCGTTGAATATTTAGTTGAGCTGGGAGATGAGGGGTATGCAAAGATAAAGTTACAATGACATCCGGATAGAACACCACACACGCCGCACACACGTAAACGTAAACTGCTTCTGATGTGTGGCGCAGTGCCCTGTCACTGTAGCCATCTCAAGCTTTGTTCTACCGAGTATCAATTATCTCAAACATGTTTTACAAGGACAGAGACAGTTCGATGTTTACGTATATACAATGTATTTTGTGATTATTTAACCGTACATTTCACTTATATCTTTCCCAACATAAATTCAAGAATAGTCTCGATTCTTGGTTTACACATTAGCAATCGTTTACTGTTAGTTTAGTAAAGTTTTCTATTTTGGATTTTTTTATCCATATTAATTCCACAATTTACGTACTTGTAAATGTGCATGTACTAATTGTTAGTTTTATATTTATTGCTAACAACTAATCGAGATGTTCTTTTGTCTAAAGATGCAATAAACTATTACCATTATTATTACTTTGAATTTTTATGAATGTATATTGAACTCAATTAGCCGTTTTTATGCAAAATAAGATAAAATATTGAAAGTAGTTATCCTGACTTTCCCGCACATTTTATATTGAGATTACTGGAAGTTCTTATCGCATAATCATAACTAAACGTATAAGTGACTTTCAAGGACAAACAAAGCTTCCTAGCGTATGAGTGTCTGTTTACAAATTCATTATCTGAAGTTATTTTATTACCCATAAACGATGTTAACACTACCTCACAAATGTGCAAAATGGAAATGCAAAGCTTGACACATTCACATGAAAATATAGAACACATCAAAAAACTCGAGGTACCAAATTGCCGGAAACATGAGTTTAGTTTCCACGAAAGCTAAGATAACTGCCCTAAACACCACTTCCTGCTGGGCAAACATAGATATTTACCCAAATCAGGTTTGTGGTCAAAACATACATACATTAATTGGTCTACACGCAATGTAACATTCCTGTACACTACTGCGTCTACTTAGAACAGTTTGGCAGGACCAAATTGCAACACCAAAATAGCAAATTGTTTTTAAATTCCCAAGTTGTGATGTTTTAATTAGCTATTTTCAATTTAATGATACCTCAAGGCTTTGTATTTTAATCTCGTGTATAACTTGATATAAGACCGTACATGAACGTACTGCGTGTCTGTATCTGTATTAATGGGTGGTCTTGACATACGGCATAACAAGATCTGGGAGTGACCCTTAGTTATTATATATTATTTTTTATTTGTTTGTGCTTAAACTCAAAGTTACAGGACAGGAAAAAAAAACTACGTTACCACTTCCGATATCCCTGCCCGACCATGACTTCTGTTTGAACACCGTTAACTCTACTGCTTTTATACTTTGTGCATATGTCTCTCGCTTGGATCTCTATGAGATTTGGTCATTTTGTGACGGTAACTGCAATTCTCTATTTTCAATGAATATGTTTGTAATTTTTATTAAAAACCGCTACTCCGGTTGTTTTGATACTTGATATACATGTACCTTTGGCGGATCTTGACATATTTTCAATTCTGTAATTTCAGCGTATATTTTTGTCATTTTTGATCAAAAATGTTATTCGACTTCTTCTTGATGACTACTAGTTTGATTTAATTGATACATGACGTATATGTGCGTGTACCTTTGGCAGCCCTCTATTAGATTAGATTACATTACATTAGAGCATTTCGTAACATAAGAGAACTCATTACTAATTCACAGATATATTCTATAACTTGGGTTGATGAATCCATAACTTTTAAACTTATCCTTCTCAGTGATAAAATCTAAATACTGGAGTTGCAAGATTTAAAATTAATGTAAACAAAGCCAAATTTATTTTATTTCCTCTCTATACACTTACCATTGCAAGAATATGCTCTGCTGAAACAGCGGAGCTATTTTGACCTTCTGATAGCTTGTTTTTTTATTTACTCCTTTTTCTTTGCTGAGTTGTAAATACAAAATATATCATAAAGAAAACACATTTGTAGTATAAGCCTAGATTGTTCCAGTAAATAGATGGTTGTATGTCACGGATTGTTTCGCAGTGTGCGGTATTGTGGTATTTGGCTTCCTTCCTAATAATAGTGGAGCATGGATGGTTTACATGAGCACATACATTACGTAATTCTCACACTGTGATAGTACTTATGACCATCACATTTATTTTGAAAATGACAAATATCTGTTTGATTCAAAGTGTCATCTGTTCATATAATAGATTAAATTATGAAACAGTGTCTAAGTCGATGAATGCGTCCTAAGTGACCTAAACCCATTATTTGCCCTACATGATGTAATGATGAAGATAAAGTAATTGATTGCTTACATGAATTCTTCTCTAAACTCTCACACTCACAGCTGCAATAATAGTTAGGTGCTAATAAATTATCTTTTGAATATGGCATAGAAACACAAAATCCATTCCAATCGTAGCAGAAATAATGGTTATCAGTTACTTTTTGTTATGATTTAGGGCAAAAGAAAAACAATACAAAAATGTCTTGTAATTACAATTATGACCTCTCATACCCCCACCCCTGCCCATCCCACTGGTTATATATGTATGCTGAGATTTGCTACGGCTCTATGGAATGTACCATATGGAGATGGTAAGGCTTCAACTGAAGACTGCGGAGATTCTGTCTTAAGACTGTGTCCAGATATCACAGTTTACTTTCCTTAATTTTATTCTTCCCTGCAATATGTTTCTGGGAGTGAGTGTAATCGAAGATTGAAACAATATGGCATATAATTATTTTGTGAAAACAATCTTATGTTTGTGTAATTCTCTGAAGAATGAGTTTAAAGAGAAACGAAATTCTAGCCCGTGCTGGGTGGCTGAGTGTACAGTAGTTGCCTACAATCCTAGTGTGCCCTGGGTGGTTAGTAGTTATAGAATTACACTGTCTGATCAATTCAGCATTGCTAGACATTAAGTAATGTGGAAATAGCTTCAGTTATATGTATCTGATTACCGTTACTATTTGTATGTTTGATATTTTTTGTATTTTAACATTTTAATATTACATGTACTCGTGGTCATGTGACCCATCATTCATGCCGATGGCCCGTCTCTCACTATATACCCACACTTGTCTATACAGAACGTCCACATTTGTATTAATATGAAGATTGTAAACTTTCACACTTGTATTCATATAAAGATTGTAAACTTTCACACTTGTATTCTTAGGAAGATGGTAAACTTTCACACTTGTATTCATATGAAGATTGTAAACGCCCACACTTGTATTCTTAGGAAGATGGTAAACTTTCACACTAGTATTCGTATGAAGATTGTAAACGCCCACACTTGTATTCTTAGGAAGATTGTAAACTTTCACACTTGTATTCATATGAAGATTGTAAACGCCCACACTTGTATTCTTAGGAAGATGGTAAACTTTCACACTTGCATTCATATGAAGATTGTAAACGCCCACACTTGTATTCTTAGGAAGATGGTAAACTTTCACACTAGTATTCGTATGAAGATTGTAAACGCCCACACATGTATTCTTAGGAAGATTGTAAACTTTCACACTTGTATTCTTTGGAAGATTGTAAACTTTCACACTTGTATTCTTAGGAAGATTGTAAACGCCCACACTTGCATTCATATGGAGATTGTAAACACCCACACTTGTATTCTTAGGAAGATTGTAAACTTGCACACTTGTATTCATATGAAGATTGTAAACGCCCACACTTGTATTCTTAGGAAGATTGTAAACTTTCACACTTGTATTCATATGAAGATTATAAACGCCCACACTTGTATTCTTAGGAAGATTGTAAATTTTCACACTATTATTCATATGAAGATTGTAAACTTGCACACTAGTATTCATATGAAGAGTGAACACGCCCACACTTGTATTTTTAGGAAGATTGAACACTTTCACACTTGCATTCGTATGGAAATTGTAAACGCCCACACTTGTATTCATATGAAGATTGTAAACGCCCAAACTTGTATTCTTAGGAAGATTGTAAATTTTCACACTAGTATTCTTATGAAGATTGTAAACTTTCACACTTGTATTCATATGAAGATTGTAAACGCCCACACTTGTATTCATATGAAGATTGTAAACGTCCACACTTGCATTCGTATGGAGATTGTAAACGCCCACACTTGTATTCATATGAAGATTGTAAACGCCCAAACTTGTATTCGTATGAAGAGTGTAAACTTTCACACTAGTATTCGTATGAAGATTGTAAACGCCCACACTTGTATTCTTAGGAAGATTGTAAACTTTCACACTAGTATTCGTATGAAGAGTGTAAACTTTCACACTGGTATTCGTATGAAGATTGTGAACGCCCATACTTGTATTCTTAGGAAGATTGTAAACTTTCACACTAGTATTCGTATGAAGAGTGTAAACTTTCACACTAGTATTCGTATGGAGATTTTAAACACCCACACTTGTATTGTTATGTAGATTGTAAACTTTCACACTTGTTTTCATATGAAGATTGTAAACACCCACACTTGTATTCTTATGAAGATTGTAAACTTTCACACTTGCATTCGCATGGAGATTGTAAACACCCACACTTGTATTGTTATGAAGATTGTAAACTTTCACACTTGCATTCGTATGGAGATTGTAAACTTTCACACTTGTATTCATATGAAGATTGTAAACGCCCACACTTGTATTCATATGAAGATTGTAAACGTCCACACTTGCATTCGTATGGAGATTGTAAACGCCCACACTTGTATTCATATGAAGATTGTAAACGCCCAAACTTGTATTCTTAGGAAGATTGTAAATTTTCACACTAGTATTCTTATGAAGATTGTAAATTTTCACACTAGTATTCTTATGAAGATTGTAAACTTTCACACTTGTATTCGTATGAAGATTGTAAACGCCCACACTTGTATTCTTAGGAAGATTGTAAACTTTCACACTTGTATTCATATGAAGATTGTAAACGCCCACACTTGTATTCTTAGGAAGATTGTAAACTTTCACACTAGTATTCGTATGAAGAGTGTAAACTTTCACACTAGTATTCGTATGAAGATTGTAAACGCCCACACTTGTATTCTTAGGAAGATTGTAAACTTTCACACTAGTATTCGTATGAAGAGTGTGAACTTCCACACTAGTATTCGTATGAAGATTGTGAACGCCCATACTTGTATTCTTAGGAAGATTGTAAACTTTCACACTAGTATTCGTATGAAGAGTGTAAACTTTCACACTAGTATTCGTATGGAGATTGTAAACACCCACACTTGTATTGTTATGTAGATTGTAAACTTTCACACTTGTTTTCATATGAAGATTGTAAACACCCACACTTGTATTCTTATGAAGATTGTAAACTTTCACACTTGCATTCGCATGGAGATTGTAAACGTCCACACTTGCATTCGCATGGAGATTGTAAACGTCCACTGTTGTATTCATATGAAGACCCATATATAGATGAACTCATATTGAGAATATAAATGACCATATTTGTATTCATATGGAGAATGTAAACTGAAATTAGATTCTAAACGAAAGGTTCCATACTTAAATCAACGTTTTTGACACGGCCTCACAATATAAAATGCTGAGCGAAAGTTGGTGTTTACAAATTAATGTAGTCACGAATGATCGAGTAGATACAACCATACCGTTTTAAAATATTATGAATTTTACATTTTTTTAAACAACCACAATGGTTGACAAAAATTCATACAATATGTAAATGATTTATAAAAAAAGTTAGTTATATGAGTGTTTGGTGTCGATAGATTGTTGATACCACAATTTATTACATAATTGAATAGACAACATTTTCAATGAGTATAGTTGGTAGAAAATGTCGGTTCAAAAGAAAATATAAAAATAGAGGATACACCTAAAACTGCATATGCCCTGAAAACAGCAATTTATGTGTGACATTATATTCCAGAAAAACAACATCAACTTGTTTTGGTGTGTGACGTCAACAACTTAAAGGGTTGTTATCAGTCAGAAAGTAGCTACATATGTTCCATGTTGCTATCATATCCTTGACCTTTTTTTCTATCTTACTGTTGCAGTGGCTTTCATCCCGTGGATTTGGTTGAACTAACGGCTGACAGGGGATATCTCTTATGGACCAATCCAAGAGGCTCCATTGAGGTGAAATTTAAGTACGGCAAAACAGGAGATGATTTTAGGTATGTTTCAATTCAGTCAATAATTGATGTTCTGCACTGACAATTAAATCCGGATTTATCCAGATGTGACCGGTCTGGCAAGATAAATGTGTTTTAGGAACAGATATTAAGAATACTTTGTGTTGTCAGGTTTCATACCAGCTAGATCCGGTTCTCTGTGCAATGTATTGAACCTAAGTATAGCACGTGACCCTAGGATGATGCATTTCAATACTAATCACTAGTCATGTGACCTACAGGGGATACATGTACTAACTTTGTAGACAGCACAAAATGTATACCCCTTCGTGGGACGAAATGTTCGATATGAGCTGTGTTGCAGATCCGTGGTACATCGTGGCCATTCCAGGATGTAAACTCGTTCTTACAATTAACTAAAAACAACATTAGTATATAAAGCCCATTTTATATGATATTTCAATCGTGTGCATGCGACGCAAAACTTAATATATTGCCAAATATTTTGATTTCAATTATTTCCATGGGATAGCAAATTTAGTATTTTTTGCCAAATTTGTAATTTATTATCAGTATCAGTGTTCAAATTTTCGCGGATTAACATTATGGCATTTTACATCTGTCAAATAACGGCCAAATACATACGTGGAATCATTAATTACTAAGGACCTGGCGTAGAGTTGGAAATTACTCCAAATAAACAAATGTCCAATTCGGGAACAGGATAATAGTATATTTGGTTATTGATGAAATAGTAGGGCGCCACCAGACGGTTTCGCAAATGCGTCGTGTTTTTCTCATAAAGTTGACGCTGATTGTGCACAAAGGAAGCCGCTCATTCCGCCATTGGATGGTGGCACATCGTGTATGTGGTGTTTACAAAGGGGGTGTAGATGATCTGTGGTACATCGTGACCAATAATAAAATGATTTGTTGTCCAACTGTGGGCGTGTCTTTTATTTCTGTGCTAAATGTGCAACACCAAAATCCCGCCATTTATTTTTCATG